GTTATTTTTGGAATTCCTTTGGGGAATGCAGTACATATGGTGTGGATAATGGTAGTCCACAGTGCATAAGCAGATCCAAGGGCTCAGTTTTATCGCGGATCCATGGCCTTGGGGCTTTTTCTTTTGTACATGGGATAAAAAAAAGAATTTGTCTATCTAGTGGAATGCCCAGAGGGCTGCTGAACGCCTGCCCAGTACCTTAGAGTCATTCTAAGGGAGTTCAAGCACTGGTTTTTTGCGAATGAAATGCAGTCCAAGGCAAAATGGAACAAATTTGTAACAATTGTCAATAATTATGGTTAAGAGCAATGTGAAGGCTAGAAATATGGTTAGGAGCAATTTGAAAAATATGATTGTGCTTGTGAGGATGATGTGAAAAAAAAGTCATAGTTGAGTGTCGAAATATAATTTTTTAAAAAATAAAAGGGCCTATGTTTATTTTTTGCGGTACATAAAAATGGATATATGTCAAGATTCCATTGCACTTACGTCATTGAGGTTGAAACTCTAATGTTTTGGGAGTTAAAAAGTACGGTCTGTGAGTTGAAAAACAAGTTCAGTCTCGCTAAGCTAAACTATTGTATTGTAGTTACGTAGATTCAAACTCAAGTACTTGAATTTTTATTCATCCAACCAACCTGTCAGTGGTAAATGGCAAAGTTTAGAGACTTAGAGTAATATTATATAAAAGTATATTATCTTTTAGATAAATAAATTTCATCAATTTTTTTTATAAGACGTATTTATTAAACGTTCATTCAAAAGATACGTATTTGTGCTATAATGTTTTAAATTTTATTTTGTACGTAAAGCATTTTCCCTGGACTAATAATAAATATACGCCGCGTCACATTATATAATAAATATGCTTTTACTAGCCGTCTATAATCTATCTAGTAGAGTCCAGCTAGCGAAGATATATATAAGGGTAAATTATACTTACACACATTAAACTATTATTTTTTTTTACTTTATCCTCTCAATTACCAAATTTCTTATATTATACCCTCAATTATGTCACTAATTTTACATTGCCTCACTTATTAATGTTCATTATATATTCAACAAAAACTTATTTTATTTTTTTCCTTAAACTATGTAATTTTTTTTTTACTTTACCCAGACATGTCTGCAATTTCAGTTCAAAAAGATAACAAACGTTTGCAATTGGGATAATGTGAAATACAAGTATTAGTTGGGGTATAATGTGAGAAATTTGATAGTTTAGAGGACAAAGTGAAAAAGGGTGATAATTTGGGGGGTGTAAGTGTAATTTAAATCATATGTATAATGCTCAGGGCAGGCCAAGTAACTGAAGAACCACCCACCGACTTCGTCCATGGCGAAAGCAATATAACGGAATGCATGCCTCCATGTCATCTTACTCTCTGAACCATAAACGACTGGCGATCATCGAATCCCTCACCTCACCTCTTACATGGAGTTCCTGATACTCTCCACAACCGACCTGTTCCATTCTCATCATTTGTTTGTCTTCCAATCTCTCTCTCGATAATATATATCTCTGCGTTTATTTGAAAGTTTTTGTTTATCATCAACAGGATGTTCGTCTAGGTAATCATGGAATGCAATCGCTGGCGATTTATCAATGATTTTCGTGTTCTAGTACTGATACTCCTACTGCGACTTTCAATCAAGAATATTCTGCGTCAAACGGATCTGCGGAAGCTGATTCTGGAGTAGGAGAGAAGTCTCACGAATCACATTGGACTGCCGACCAAGAGAAACCTGCTACATGCGCGGTATATTGCTACCTCTCTCTCTCTCTCTCTCTCGTGTTGGATTTTGAACAGATTACGTTTTGGTGTGTTCAATTCACTGTCGCTTGAAATTTGGCTGTGTATACAGTGAACAAGTTAAGCTGATTTGTCCTGTGTATAGTTTTGTGATTGTTACTCATGTTGAACCACGACAGATTTGTGCACAATGCATTGTTTTCTGTTGCAATTTCTTCTTCAGAAGGCTTGGACAAATACTAATTGGGGGATTTGAACAATTATGGCCTAGAAATAACTTACTAAATCTCGTGAATTTTTCATTGGCGTCACTTTGAGTTTCAAGCAGTTTCCACCTGAAAAATCATTTCTAGACGTATATTTTAAAATATCATCATAAGAGGAACCGTATCTCCATTATCTTGGACTGTTTAATTTGAAATGAGCATTGCTTGTTGAAGTATACGAAATAGTAAACGATGTATGGGCCTCTATTAGAAAGTAGAATAATTAGCGTTTGATATCTACTACACAATAGCGGCGTTACTCATGGAACCCTTTCACAAATTTGTGTTCTGTACGAAACCTTTAACTTTTGCGTGATTTTGTTGTTAACATGTCATTTGATTTCAATACATGTGATTCTCTGGCAATTAATATCACAATTTTCCTGTCTTTTCTCATATGTTGGACTATCTACTTGTGTATGCCACGTTTATATGTTGTGGATTCACCGTTTCTTTTGCTTTCTATGTGTTTGACTAAGAACTGAAGGACATATGGCCTACTACTTTTATGTCTGACTACCGTCTTTCTAATATATCCTTGTACAAGGCAAAGAGCATATTTCTCTGAGCTCAGTTTTGTTCTTCGGTTTTGTATTTGTCTCTCAATTTTTTTCCTTCATCAGTTTGTAGTTATATTTCCAGATTTTTTAAATTCACTTACTTGTTTTTTGTGTTATATTACTTTTCAATATTGCTTTTGCAAGTCATTTAGAGTACAATTGTCAGTATATTTGAAATGCTCCCACATTTGTTGTAGTCTTCTTTAGAGTTCCACCATTTTTGCAAACCATTACGCTATTTGCCATATGCATTTTGAGCATGTAATGTCATTGGGACCAGTTCATACAACTAGTCATTACTAAAACATTAATTGATTTAATTGCCTTTGCAGCCCGTTTCTTGGTTGAGTTTTCTTTTGCTGATTGCCACTGGAGCGGGACTGATCTTCTACCATAACAAAGATTGCACACAGAAGATAGGTTACTATGGTGAGTAGGGTATTTGTAGGTTCACCTGGAGGATCTGATATGCATCGATCCTTTTGAGTAACCCTTCTGATTTTTTCTGTCCTTTCAGTTCCATTCAGATGGTTTAGAAATAATCTTGTTTTGATTCATTTAGTGTAAAAAGGAGTTGAAGGCACTATTAGGGTGAATTTAGCCACATGCTGTCTCAAAAACCGGTAGTGGTAAATTGCATTGCCCAAGGCCTTGAGAGGGCTACTTGGATATAGCTGCTATGCCTATGTTTTGTTTCCGTTGGTTGAATATCTTATTAGGTTTGCTCATGTGTGTGTTAGTTAGTTATGCCTTCTTTTTCAACATAATTTGATGCTTATACACATCAAGGTTAATATGTTATGCTTTCCCAATTTAACCGATTGATAAGTCAAGGAGTAGCAGATTCTGAAGGCGTAAGATATGCCTTCTTGCTGTCAAGGAGTCTGTTATGCCTTCTTTTTCATCTCTAGAACATAAGTTCGTTAATGAATTGTAGTTTATGTTGATAAAAGTGAGACTACCTCTCCTTGGGGATTATAGTGCTTGTGTAAAGGTATTCTCTTGTGTAAGTAAATCCTGTTATACCCGTTGTTTTCAGGGAATTTCTATTGTTGTTTCCATTATTCAGTGCTGATTGATACTCCATTGCTGCAGAAATCAGCAACGGCTCAAATGCTATAAAACAGAGACCCTCTGCGGCAAGTAGCCACTGGGGGTCCACTCAACCTTGTCAACCATAACGGGAATTTTCATAACGGAAGATTTTACAGGAAGATGAACTTTGATTTATTTTTGCTTCACTCACTGCCCTGATATCTGCCCAGATGAGCTACAGAAGTTAGCTGCTGCAGTTGACAGTATAAGTAATTGAAGCATGAATTCCGAACCCTTCAGCCTCAATGACTTACTAAAGAAAGAAATCCAGTTATTATATTTTAGGGTCTGACAAATTTGATGATTCATGCAGGAACTCGATGGATCCGAACATGGAATTCGTAATTTTTTTGGGAAGAACAATAACGTCCACATGCTTGCTGATGGTAAGCATAATCTGCCCAAAAGACATCTATTTGATCTGGAGAACTCTTTTCCACCAAGCAGTTTCAGTTTCCTCTAATGTCTTTAGAGACGATTTGTAGAAATGGTGTGAGGTTCTATTTCACGCTGGGAGAAAATTTTTAGTCGTATGCTGTTTTGTAGTAGTAATATATAGGCAATAATCGAATAGCTATACTCGTTCATTCTGACTCCTGAATTAAACGGGTGTCAATGCCTGAATTTATATCAGAGGCTTGAAAATCAATCCCAGTATGCATAAGCTTCCCCTCTTGATGTTGTACTGCACATATTGACAATAATAAATGTAGATTTTCTGGAAGAAGCGTCACACCTGATTTGCACACTTTCATAAACACTACCAGAACACAAAGAAATAAAGCTGCTAAAAGTCTCATAACGTGCGGAACATGTTGGGTACCAACGACAACAAAAAAAAAAAAATCTGGGAAGATAGATATTTTCCATTCTTATGTGGACATAACAATGTAAAATTTGACAGAACCAACTGCAATAGCACAAAACTCATCGTACGAACACTCAAGTTGTGCTAGCTTATTTGCTTATATATTGGGATGTATTAGCTTCTATAGGCCATATTCTGGATTCATGCTCTTCCTGAGATCCAGAAGATCTCAATCTTACAGCTCAATTTACACGTGACCAGTTGCCCTTGGTGCTTCATTGACGTTTAGCCTTATGTGCGAAGCCAATTTTCAGCATATGGGCACAGGTGGTGTATGATTTCTGGCTGTAGATAAACAGGTGGAAATGTAAAGCACTTCACCTGCAACTGATGCGTACTCTTAGAGAAATGGACTTTTGGTAATCAATTAAAAGAAGAAACCACAAGAGACTCTGATGCACCTCTGGGAACATGATGGAAGTTCAAGCCTGCAAAAATGCATTTCCTAAGAACACTATGTCTCAATGTGTCGAGGAAATACAGCTTTGCCTAGATAAACTTGTTGCATCTCCTCTCGCCATATCTGCAGCAATAAGTCACATTCATCAATTCTTATTCTGCCAGGCTTCATTTGTTTCTACAGAAAATTATATATTTTATTGGGAGACCAAGTACCAGCGTGTCAGCCAAGAGAAAACTCAGCAAGGAAATTCGGGTCAAGAGCCGATATTTACACAGGAGGCTGACCTTAGATTTCGGAGATTAGAGTAGAACTCCGTTAGCAGTGGAGAAGGGTTTTGCCTTGAATCCAAACCATTTCTCGTCTTCTCTTTATGATATTTTTAATTAGGACTTGATCAAGGGATCAATGACGTTTAAGAAGGATCAACCCTTCAGATTTTGTAGTTCTTGGCCTCTATTTTACATATCATATGCATGTTTGGGTAGCTTCTGAGAGGCTGCATGGCACAACAGAGCTTTGCGACTATGCTATTCTTAGCATATGTGTTGATCTGTTCTAATTTTAGTTGATTGCTCATCGAATTATTTGACCATGACATAAATGGGATATAAGCAGAGACAACAAAAGCAGGGTCCACTTCTCTTTATTCTCTATAGTTTGTAGTCTATCACGTATCTTTCTTTCTCAAGTGGCTATATGGGTGCATTCTAGATTTATTCCTCAATCTAGTTTTCCCTATACATAATTGTGCAATCAAAATAAACTTAAATTCCAAGAGAAAAAAATATATAATTATACATGAAAGCTTCTAGAATCAAGAACATACCGTATCACGGAATTCCAGTCTGATATGAGGCACATTTGTCCTGTGAATATCATTTCCATCCGNAAAAAAAAAAAAATCTGGGAAGATAGATATTTTCCATTCTTATGTGGACATAACAATGTAAAATTTGACAGAACCAACTGCAATAGCACAAAACTCATCGTACGAACACTCAAGTTGTGCTAGCTTATTTGCTTATATATTGGGATGTATTAGCTTCTATAGGCCATATTCTGGATTCATGCTCTTCCTGAGATCCAGAAGATCTCAATCTTACAGCTCAATTTACACGTGACCAGTTGCCCTTGGTGCTTCATTGACGTTTAGCCTTATGTGCGAAGCCAATTTTCAGCATATGGGCACAGGTGGTGTATGATTTCTGGCTGTAGATAAACAGGTGGAAATGTAAAGCACTTCACCTGCAACTGATGCGTACTCTTAGAGAAATGGACTTTTGGTAATCAATTAAAAGAAGAAACCACAAGAGACTCTGATGCACCTCTGGGAACATGATGGAAGTTCAAGCCTGCAAAAATGCATTTCCTAAGAACACTATGTCTCAATGTGTCGAGGAAATACAGCTTTGCCTAGATAAACTTGTTGCATCTCCTCTCGCCATATCTGCAGCAATAAGTCACATTCATCAATTCTTATTCTGCCAGGCTTCATTTGTTTCTACAGAAAATTATATATTTTATTGGGAGACCAAGTACCAGCGTGTCAGCCAAGAGAAAACTCAGCAAGGAAATTCGGGTCAAGAGCCGATATTTACACAGGAGGCTGACCTTAGATTTCGGAGATTAGAGTAGAACTCCGTTAGCAGTGGAGAAGGGTTTTGCCTTGAATCCAAACCATTTCTCGTCTTCTCTTTATGATATTTTTAATTAGGACTTGATCAAGGGATCAATGACGTTTAAGAAGGATCAACCCTTCAGATTTTGTAGTTCTTGGCCTCTATTTTACATATCATATGCATGTTTGGGTAGCTTCTGAGAGGCTGCATGGCACAACAGAGCTTTGCGACTATGCTATTCTTAGCATATGTGTTGATCTGTTCTAATTTTAGTTGATTGCTCATCGAATTATTTGACCATGACATAAATGGGATATAAGCAGAGACAACAAAAGCAGGGTCCACTTCTCTTTATTCTCTATAGTTTGTAGTCTATCACGTATCTTTCTTTCTCAAGTGGCTATATGGGTGCATTCTAGATTTATTCCTCAATCTAGTTTTCCCTATACATAATTGTGCAATCAAAATAAACTTAAATTCCAAGAGAAAAAAATATATAATTATACATGAAAGCTTCTAGAATCAAGAACATACCGTATCACGGAATTCCAGTCTGATATGAGGCACATTTGTCCTGTGAATATCATTTCCATCCGGTCCTCTTATGTAGTATTCCTTCCCAACCCAGTGTGACTAAGAACGACAAATTTCATATCAGAGACAACAGCTTCACATAGGTAAAGCACAAAAAGAAATCATATATATTCAGAAAAAGGATCATTTAACATGCAAATGCCGGGCAATTGGACATGAAAACATTAATACAAAACAGATTCCACAAAAAATTACTATTGAAACTCAATAATTTTAGTTAACAGAGGAGTAACCCAATAAGGCGGCGGCCCAGGATTTCCATATTACAGAGTCTAGAAAGGGTCAGATGCACGCACACACCCCTCCCGCGCGGGTTGGGACAAGTGGAGAGGTTGTTTTCTTGATTGGATAATACCCAGGTCCCAACAACGGCTCCACTGCAGTGACTCTATCATAGTGACAAGATCACAACAATGCAGCCATTGTTGAACCTTGCCATTGCCATTGATTTGATTCGAATTTTGTAATTGAACCTTGTCAGCCCATTTGATGAGCTCAGTTAAATCCTTTCATTATCTTCGATGGATCATCTGGCCTAATTTCAACGGGCAGGGTTTCTTCCAAAACTTAACTCAAAGCAACAAAACGAATATGACCTCAAATACTTAAGATCCACATATGGGAAGGATCACTTTCCACTAGGGGTGCAACTCGGGCGGGTTGGACAATCAACCCTAGCCCAACCCTAGATATATAATTTTCAACCCTAATCCTAACCCTAACCATACCTCGGGTTAGGGAACTCAACCCGAGCACTGCCCGAGTTTAATTCGGGCGGACTCGCGTTGAATTCGGGTTAATGATTTCAAGCTGATTTCGTGTTACTTTACGGGTCCAATTCGGATTCAATTCGGATAGAGCCCAAAATAGGCTTGTTGTTCTAAACCTAATACATATATTACATAATATTCACCTAAATTAACAACCAATAACTTCAACTAAGTTTTTAACAAGAGAAGCTGAGAGAACGAGACAGACAAAGAACGATAGAACAAAAATGAAAAAACAGTGCTAATGCTTTAATTTTATATATATATATATATATATATATATATAGATATATTTTTTTTTTATTTTTTTTTTTTTAATTTGTCGGATTCGGGTTGAACTCGGGTTCACGAGGCTTTAACCCGAGCCCAACCCAAATTGAATTCGGATTAGGGTTTTTTGACCCAAACCCAACCCAAGTTTTAAAAACCCTTACCCAACCCGAAATCAGGTTGCCCAACCCAAGTTGCACCCCTACTTTCCACGGAAGTTGTCCTATTTAAATAAGTAGGCCAGGCAACGGGCACAAACAATGACAATCATATCCTTCTGTAAATCCAATTCTTTATGCCTCTGAAATGTAGTATTCCTTAAATATGTCAGGCACCAGCCTGTACCGCCCTGGAAAGAGAGGATTGGAGCAAACCATGCACCTAGTGAACACAAACTGGAAGAGAGTTTCAGGTCACTCTATGCTGGTTTCGGAACCCCAACCCAACTCTTTCAATTGCTCACACCAGATCGTGGAAATTTCCTAGACCAACAGCAAATTCGGTAACTTCAACTCACTACAATATACCTTCAGAGCATGTGAGAAGCCTGATTGGTAGACTGAGTTACGAGCAATCTCGCACAGATCACAGGAACTTAACTTCCAAACCTGCAAGACATAAGAGTTGCTCTTAAACTTGATAACATCTTCATATGTTTACTGCAGACTAACACAAGCGAAATGATACTCACAGAAGCAGCTATACTATACTCTTCCACCAGGGGCTCTTTTGTTAAGTGGATTTGTAAAGGATCATCAGTAGACAGGGAAACATTGAGGCCCCGTAGGAAAAACATAGGAAAAGGGTTCCGATGGTAGTCTAAAAATAAGGAATTGTTGCTCAGAGGAGACATAGCCAGACCAATCTGATAGCCAACAAGCCATCAGAAATGCATCAGCCATATAACAAATGCAATTACATCAACAGAAAATAACTCTCCCCTGCCATATTACCTGGGCCAGGTAGTACAAATATTGTAATACAGGAGATTTCCTCAGATTAATTCCATGTGCAATATTATGAGCTATAAGAAATGTTGCAGCAAGGTGGTCAATATCACCCGCCTGAATATAATAGCATCACATTAGTCATGCACACAATTTGCTCATAAGTATCAGATTAATAAATTAAACTTCCAATAATACCTCCCCTGAATGAGGGCGGAATTTGATAGTTGTCATGCCCTTCGACTCGCGGAGCTGAGATGTAACACAAAACGGTCAAAATCCCAGGCATTTAGATTATAGCACAAGAAACAAATGAATAGGCATCCATATGAAAATAACTCTTTCTGTTTTACATATAAAAATGCAAGACAAAAGAATAAAATGCATTTAAAAAACTTCCTTAGATAACCATTCTAATTATATTTCTTTTTTATATTTCCCTTCTTCCAAAAAACAAACCAAGAGTAACATTTACCAATTTCTTTCTTAAGAAAGTAAGTTACCAAGCACCGTTAGAACAAGCAACCAAAATGATCAATGGAAAACACCTAAACCAGTCTAAGAATGAAGATACATCTGAGTAAAGCTAAAGCCAATGCTGCCACTGAAATAACTATTACTACTTCTCAAATACAATGAGTAAGACCTGCAACTCAAATTTAAACGATGAAAGCAGTGAATATCAATGTACAAAAAGTCAAAAACTTCATTTTCGAGGAGGACCTCAGTCTTGCAATGGGTTTTTTATTATTCTCTTTTGCCTTTTTCTCCAGTTGCTCTCTATACATACATATACAGATAGAGGAGGAGGAGTCCACAAATGATACTTCCACATGCTAGCCATGTATAAAGAGGATTACAGGTTTGTACTCAACGAAACTAAACGCACCTTGTTCAGGGTGTGGAGGTTAGCATAACAATAGTATGCATAATATGAAAATGCAGGATTGAATATATTGATCCATTGAGCTGGAGTTGGCATGTGTTTTGTAGGGCGTCTTTCAGGCTTGCTTTCGTCATCCACCAAGTCCAACCCAACAACCTGTAAACCAAGCAGGCAACAAGGAAAAATAACAGAAAATTTGTATTCTTATGGATTGTTAAGAATAATAGAGTAGTAGTATGTGTAAATTGTTAATAGTAAAAGAGATGTATGTGTTATTATTATTATTGTAAGTTAACTATAAATACAAGTTATGTATGAGAGCTAGGTTAAGTTTTCTAACCTCTCCCTTTCTCCCTAATATTGCCTCTAATATTGTGTTATATTAATTCTCTTAACTTAATATGGTATCAAAGCATTAATCTTGGTGTTGTTACTGTTGATGGTAGTCGATCGGTGTAATGCTCATCGATTTTTTTTTTATTTGGTTGTGGCTTGTGGTAGTCCATCGGTGTGGTCGACTGGTGGTAGTCGATGGTGTGCTGCTGTTCGGCGTCATGGTGGTGTTCAACAGCGACGACGGTGGTGGCTTGTGGTAGTCGATTGGTGTGGTTGACGTTGGTGGTAGTCGACTGGTGGTAGTTGACGGTGTGCTGCTGTTCGGCGTTGTGGTGGTGTTCAACAGTGAAGGCAGTCGACTGTCTTCGTGGTGGCGATTGTTCGTCGTGGTGTAGTCGCCTATCTTCGTGGTGGTCTGTGGAGGTGTTTTGGTGGTGTCCGGTGTTGTGGTGTGATGGTGTTCGGTGCTGTGGTGGTGTTCAACAGTGAAAGCATAGGGTTTGGTAGAAACCCTAACCAACGAAGGAGAAGATCTGTTCCAGCCAGACTGGTCCGGACAAAACCGGTCCAGACCCGTTTCAGTTTGGTTCAGCTTTCAAGTGGGCTTCTCCTGTCCAGTTCAGTCATGCAACACTTCTTATTTGCTATCTGCTTTGCTATTTGCTGCATTATTATGGAACCTAAAAATCCTGTGTTGCCTCCTCCTACTCTTATCACTGGTCCCATGACTTCTGTCAAACTCAATGGGACTAATTATACTTTATGGTCACGATCTATTCAAGTCTTTCTTCGAGGAAAAGGATTTAAGAAATATCTGGTGGGTTCTAAACCCAAGGAGGACACTCCGGAGTATGATCAGTGGGAACAAGAGGATGCTCAGATTATTTCTTTATTGTTGAATAGCATAGAGCCCAATATTAGCTCCTCTCTACTCTATCTTGATACTACCAAAGAGATATGGGATCACTTGGCCACTATGTATTCTAGTACAGGTAATTTTACCCGTGCGTATGAGGTGTGCAAGGAGTACTTCCGGTTGGTGCAGAGTACTCTGAGCCTTGCGGATTATTACTCTCATGTTCGGGGAGTCTGTGAGAAGATGAAAACTTACCATCCATTTACTACTAATGCAGCAGTTTGGCAAAAGCAACATGAGGACCTAAATGTTGTTCGTTTTTTTGTTGGATTGAAACCTAAATATGAGGCTATTCGTTCTCAGATTTTGGGTGGATCTAGTCTTCCATCACTGCTGGAGGTTTTCTCTCGTTTACAGCGTGCTACACTATCTACTACCTCAGTAATTGATCATGGTGCCTACACTGATCGCTCAGCTCTTGTAGTTCCTAATAACCATAGTAATTGTCATCGAGGTGGTCGTGTTGGTCGCGGAGGTCGTACAGGAGGTCATACGGGTGGTCGTAATGGATCTCGTTCTTGTACTCACTGTCGCCGTGGAGGACACACTGTTGATTTCTGTTGGGATTTATATGGAAAACCCTCTGGTACTGCTAATCAGGCTTCTTATCAGGACGACACCTTGATTGTTGTTTCCATACCTCGGTCAGCTCCACCAGACACTGGGTCAGTTACTATTACACTGGGTCGAGAGGAGTATGCTCAGTTCCTATCCCAGCAACAAGCTGTTTCATTTCCCTCCACTGCTACTTTTGCCCAGTCAGGTACTGCTTCCACATGTTTAATGTCCTCCACCCGTAGCCCTTAGATCATAGATTCTGGTGCCTCTGGCCACATGACTGGTGCGTCTGACGTTTTCTCTACTTATCAGTCTGTTATTTCTGCACGTAGTGTTACTCTTGCTAATGGTATTTGTTCTAAAGTTTCAGGTCTAGGGACTACTCACTTGAGTTCTGACATGTCCCTATCTTCCGTGTTATTTGTTCCTCAATTTTCTTTTAGTTTACTTTCTATTAGCAAGATTACTCGTTCTCTCAATTGTTCGGTAATTTTTTATCCCTCTTATTGTGTCTTTCAGGACGACACCTTNTTCGTTCTCAGATTTTGGGTGGATCTAGTCTTCCATCACTGCTGGAGGTTTTCTCTCGTTTACAGCGTGCTACACTATCTACTACCTCAGTAATTGATCATGGTGCCTACACTGATCGCTCAGCTCTTGTAGTTCCTAATAACCATAGTAATTGTCATCGAGGTGGTCGTGTTGGTCGCGGAGGTCGTACAGGAGGTCATACGGGTGGTCGTAATGGATCTCGTTCTTGTACTCACTGTCGCCGTGGAGGACACACTGTTGATTTCTGTTGGGATTTATATGGAAAACCCTCTGGTACTGCTAATCAGGCTTCTTATCAGGACGACACCTTGATTGTTGTTTCCATACCTCGGTCAGCTCCACCAGACACTGGGTCAGTTACTATTACACTGGGTCGAGAGGAGTATGCTCAGTTCCTATCCCAGCAACAAGCTGTTTCATTTCCCTCCACTGCTACTTTTGCCCAGTCAGGTACTGCTTCCACATGTTTAATGTCCTCCACCCGTAGCCCTTAGATCATAGATTCTGGTGCCTCTGGCCACATGACTGGTGCGTCTGACGTTTTCTCTACTTATCAGTCTGTTATTTCTGCACGTAGTGTTACTCTTGCTAATGGTATTTGTTCTAAAGTTTCAGGTCTGGGGACTACTCACTTGAGTTCTGACATGTCCCTATCTTCCGTGTTATTTGTTCCTCAATTTTCTTTTAGTTTACTTTCTATTAGCAAGATTACTCGTTCTCGCAATTGTTCGGTAATTTTTTATCCCTCTTATTGTGTCTTTCAGGCTCTCAAGACGAAGAGGAGGATTGGTACGGGACATGAAGCTGGTGACCTATATTACCTTGACTTTGATTCATCTACCCGAGCTTTACAGACCTCGTTGTCTCCTTTTCAATGGCATTGTCGTCTTGGACATCCTTCTCTCCAGAATCTAAAGCGTCAAGTTCTTAGTCTTAGTTATGTGTCGTCTTTGTCTTGTGAAGCTTGTCAACTTAGTAAGCATCACCGTGTGTCTAGTCCATTTGAATTAGTTCATTCTGATGTATGGGGTCCAATAAAGAATATTTCATCTAATAAATATCCTTATTTTGTGACATTTGTGGATGACTATACCCGTGTGACTTGGTTATTTTTGATGAAAGCTCGGTCTGAATTATTCTCTATATTTGAGACTTTTCGTAAAGAAATAAAAACTCAGTTTGGTTGTCGTATACGTACTTTACGTTCCGATAATGCTCGTGAATATGAATCTGATCCTTTTTCAGCTTATCTTAGAAAAACTGGCATTATTCATCAGACTTCTTATGCTTACACCTCTCCACAAAATGGTGTTGCTGAACGAAAGAACCGCTATTTGTTGGAAGTCACCCGTGCCTTGTTATTCCAGATGAATGTTCCTCGATATCATTGGAGTGATGTTGTTCTTACTTCTTGTCATCTTATTAACCGTATGCCCTCCTCTGTGTTAAATGAACAAAGTCCATACTCTATTTTGTTTCCTAGTAAGCTCTTATTTTCCCTTTCTCCTAAGATTTTTGGTTGTGTCTGTTATGTTCACAATTTGGGTCCTGAATTTGACACACTTGATCCTCGGGCTACCAAATGTGTTTTTCTTGGTTACTCTCGCACGCAGAAGGGGTATTGTTGCTACAGTCCTTCTCTGCACCGATATTTTACTAGTGTGGATGTCACATTTGAAGAATCTGTTTCATACTTTCCAGCACCCTCTCAGCCTTTGGATCTGGACTTTGGCTCCTCTTCTATACCACCATCAGATATTCCGCTGCCCACTGTGTTACCACCTACTTTACCTCTCCGTGTCTATTCTCGCCGTCCTCACCCATTGACTGAAGTGCCCGTACCGTCTTCCTTGTCGCCTTCTGATCCAGGAACATCAGGTAATTTAGATTCTTTACCTATTGCTCTTCGCAAAGGTACTCGTTCGTGTGTTACTAATCATCCTATTTCTCATTTTGTTTCATATGATGCCTTGTCACCTGTCTTCTCCTGTTTTACTTCCCAATTATCTGCTATATCTATTCCTAAGCATTTACAGGATGCATTATCTGATCCGGGTTGGAGGAAAGCTATGGAGGAGGAGGTGGATGCCTTACATCATAATGGAACTTGGGATCTCGTCCCTTTACCCTCTGGTAAACGAACTGTTGGATGTCGTTGGGTGTATGCTGTTAAATTTCATCCAGATGGTTCTGTAGAGCGTCTCAAAGCCCGACTTGTTGCAAAGGGCTTCACTCAGACTTATGGTGTTGATTATGAGGAGACTTTTTCTCCTGTTGCTAAAATTTTCTCTGTTCGTATCTTGATTTCTTTGGTTGCTAATCTTGACTGGTCCTTGTTTCAGTTAGATGTCAAGAATGCCTTCTTACATGGTGATTTGGTTGAAGAGGTCTACATGGAGCAGCCACCTGGGTTTACTGCTCAGGGGGAGTATGGTAAGAGTATATGTCGGTTAAAGAAATCTTTGTATGGTTTGAAGTAGTCACCGAGGGCATGGTTTGGTAAGTTTTCAGATGCAGTTTTAGAGTTTGGTCTTCTTCGATGTCAAACAGATCATTCTGTGTTTCATAGACAGACAGATGTTGGGTATGTCCTATTGGTGGTCTATGTCGATGATATTGTGATTACTAGAAATAATTCTGAGGGGATTGTCAAGTTAAAATTATTTTTACAGGATCGATTTCATACTAAGGATTTGGGAAAACTTTNCCTACTTTACCTCTCCGTGTCTATTCTCGCCGTCCTCACCCATTGACTGAAGTACCCCGTACCGTCTTCCTTGTCGCCTTCTGATCC